TTAAGTTCGACATTACAAAGTTCACAAAAGCTTCACTATTTAGTACCTATAAATCCCATTTTTGACCAGCTTTCATTTGGTATAAAATTCATGATATATTCCTCCTTGAAATAATACTATTTCCTATCGGGGTAAATATAAACTAATACCTAAACATATAGCAATCTATATCTAATTTTAAAATAAATTTATATCTGATTTATTAAGTAACATTACCAAACAACACAAAGTTATATCTAATTAATAATTAAAGTAATAGAAAAAAATAAGAATACAATTATCAATTCTAACAAAAAAACACAGCAAAAAAAGAAAACTATTGTAAATTTTTGGTTGTAACAAATAATCTAAATAATGGATCGGTATCATCATCTTTGATATAATAATTAGCAACAAAACACTCATCAGGATCATTTGGAATAATAGATTTTTCAATACACCAATTTTTAATATAATTTAAACTAATTTGTGCTGGACTATATAATTTCTTGCGAAGAGTTACCAAAAAGCTTGAAATTTGCGATGCCTTTGGTTGTATTATTTTCAATTTATCAGGTTCAGATAAAATAGCTTTTGGTGTAGTGTATCCATTTTGAAATAATTCAATCATAACATTTTTTACTTCAATTGGAATACCAGTTTGTTTGCTTTCTGTTGTATGATCATGCAGGATAATTGCTTGAAATAATGTTACTTCAAAGTTGCTTGCATGAAATAATAAATACATTTTGCTGGGCAATTTGAACCACGTTTAAAGCTGCATTTATAATATTTTTTGGTTCCTTGCTCTGTATCATTAATTTTACAGCAAATCCATTTGAAATTATTATATTTAACAGCGTCCTCTTCAGCACATTTGCCATCAGAGAAGACTTTCACTTTTTCATATGATTAGCCGGATGCTGTCATCTTCTTAGCTGGGTTAATAATATCACCAGCATCACCATCATCATCCGTTGCTTCTTCTCTGTAAGTTGGTACAGCAGAGTCTATTGAATCTGTTTCATCATCATCTGATAATGGTTCTGCCATTTTTTTAATGGTATATTTTTTATATTTTGTAAACTAACTTTTTTCTTATCACTTATTGTCATTCCTAGCTCATATATACTCTTTCAATTAATTGATAAGTACTAATCAATTATAGATTACGGTCAAATTAATTAGATAATTCGATAAATTGATTGATAGTCATTTGTTAAAAACGATAATGTATTAAATTAAAAGACAGAACATTTTTTAATTCAGAAATTTAACTGATATAAAAGATGTTTAATTGAAAAATTAGATTAAACAATTTTTTTAAAAGTATTCTTTCACCGGAATAGATACTACTGTATTAAGTTAGGGAATATTAATATAATTTAGATATAGATTGCTATATTTTTAGGTATTCTATTAAATGCATACCTTTCCTATTCTGTATCTTGGAGTATCATGTCGGTTGGCCATGCCCATATATATTCTTTTTCAGAAGGCTACTTGTATAGTGATGGAAATTTCGAAAGATTAATCGAGATAATGATGAGTAAAACAATCTACAGGAATCTAACAATGAGGGTATCTTACTTGTACTCGATCTTTTTTTCCGCAAATAGATTGTAAGGTGGAATATGTGGAGAGAGAGTAAGAGAGAACTTCGCACGCTTTCAAAATATATACTTAGTTTTACAAAAATGTTGTTTTATAGCGAGAATATAAGTCAAATATGAAGTACCGCTATTCTTTTTAGTGTATATATGATTAAAAAACAAATATCTAGTAAAATTTTACATTCGCCAAGGCTTATATAACCGCTGTTGCGAATCTGTCGAGAAAAGTATGTATTCATTTTTCAGTCGCCCAAATGTCATTAGTGAGAATAAAAATTAGTTAGCTAAAATTAGACTTTTGTGTTGTTTCTGAATATTTTATCAGAATATTTCTGTCATATAATATTGATTAGTAACGAGACAGATATTTGAGCGAGTCAAAGATTCTGTTTGTACAAAGTCTTTCTACAAATTGTTCATCTTTCAGTCGCAAAAGGTATTTAGTATGAACCAAACGTAGCTCGGCAGAATTAGTCTTATCTGCTCTTTCCTACTATGTGTTAAGAATACCTCTTTGGCCTAAGATGGATTTACAATAACTTAATACTGAGGAGGGGGGGGGGGGGG